CAGACTGCTTCAAAAAGGTTTATCGCATTTAATGCGATCCTATCAACCTCGTACCAAAAGTCAAAGTATTCGTGACTATAAATAGCAGAATTCGTTATGATAGAAGGGATCGAACTCTCAAAAAATAGATATAGTATCTCGGTTATATCAGAAACCGACTTCTTGTATCCAACAAAAAATAGAGTTATAATACAAAATCTTGATTTTCTTTGTTTTAATTGCATCATATTGTGGTTGTTACATTTCACATAACAACATGCATTTTAATTATTAATATTTTTATTTAACTACAACTTAATTCTAACCATTAGATATGAACTTTTTATTCTTTATTTAAATGTCAAATATCGAAAATAAAATGATATAAGAAAAATGGACTGATAAATATTGCACTATTCAACTTAGGACTTTTTCAAACTTTTAACTTGAAACCATTATCAAACAATTTAGTTATTAGTTGTCATTTATAAATATGACTTTGATCCCTAAAAAATACGAGTTTTTGAATATTTTATTGTTTAAATGTCGTTGTAGAAAATATGGCGCAATGTAGCGCACAATAGCGTGAAATAGCGCAAAATAACGTAAAAAAGCGTGTCATTTTAATATTTTGCGTAAGTTTTTCGAGAAAAGCGCTAAATATAAAATGTTATGTCGCGCTTTTCGAAAAAAAAAAAAGCTACATAGCGAGCTACATAATAAGTTATTTAAAATAATTGCTAATATGTAGCAGGACCAATTTGTTTGTTATGTTGGGCCGAAAAAACCAGCCCAAATAATGTCCATATAGTTCAGCCCAACAAAACCATTTAAGTAAGGGCAAAATAGTCTTTTTGTTGCAAGTCAACATCTCCCTCAAACTATTTCACGTAGCAGCATGTTTAGTTTATCTGCCATTTTTTAGGAGCTACGCGACAAAGCCCTCCACTGGAGCTCCGACGACGACTAACTGGAGCGCCTCCAATATCCGATGTCAACTTGTCCAAAAATTGTACACTAGATAGGGATGCACAAACTATGGTTAATTGACCGAAACCGAAACCGACCAACCGATTCGATTTTCGGTTCTTATTTTCTTAATATTTCAGTTTTTGGTTTGGTTTTGTTACAATCTGTCGGTTAACCAAACTGAACCGAAAATCGATATTATATATTTATAAGTTAAAAAAGGTCAATATTATTATTTAATCCTGCTAGAATATCATTTGTGAGTTGTCCCACATTGTTAATACATGGAAAATAGACCCACCTTATAAGTCTAATGGGCTACTCCTCCTTTCACCAATTGGTTTTGGGATGGAACCCCACTTGGGCTTCATATGGGCTTTTCCCCCAGTTTCTTTCATGGTATCAGAGACCACTTTGTCTCTGGGTTAGAGACATGATATCAGAGCCCACTTTGTGCCTGGGTTAGAGACATGATATCGGACTCACAAGTGAGGGGGCGTGTTAGAATATCACTTGTGAGTTGTCCCACATCGTTCATATATGGAAAATAGACCCACCTTATAAGTCTAATGGGCTACTCCTCCTTTCACCAATTGGTTTTGGGATGGAACCCCACTTGGGCGTCATATGGGCTTTTCCTTTCTTACATGGTATCAGAGCCCACTTTGTGTCTGGGTTAGAGACATGATATCAGAGCCCGACCGACTTTGTGTCTGGGTTAGAGACATGATATCAGAGCCCACTTTGTGCCTGGGTTAGAGACATGATATCAGACTCACAAGTGAGGGGGCGTGTTAGAATATCACTTGTGAGTTGTCCCACATTGTTAATACATGGAAAATAGACCCACTGGCTACTCCTCCTTTCACCAATTGGTTTTGGGATGGAACCCCACTTGGGCTTCATATGGGCTTTCCTTTTCCCCCAGTTTCTTACAAATCCAATAGTAATTTAGCCAAAGGCCCGATGCGTGGGCGGCCCAATTTATCACTCATCTAATCATCTTCCATAGAATTAGACCCAAATCCAGTTTATCACTCAATCCATTGAGACATTTGACCCAACTCAATCGAATAATTCTCAATCCACATTCCACCAGCAGTAACCTAAAGAACTAAAGAATATCGACATTCAAAAATCACAATTTCCATTTTCCAAAAAATTTCCAAGTAAACCCTACCTATCTTCTTCTCATCCGTCTGTCGCACACAACCTGTCAGTCACACACTCCATCTCCGGTTGATCGGCGTCGGCGCTATGAAGCATAAAATCCCAAATCGTCGTGCACTAAAGTGTGAAATTCGAAATCGCCTCGCTCGATCGCTTCTGCTCCCCGCACACACTTCACTCCACCCGGTAGGCCATCACTCACGGTGTTGTATTGGACTTGTTTTTTATTATTATTGGTATGTGTAAGTGGCCAAAACTTGTTATTTTTATATCTATATAGAACCTAGTGTGTTGTATAAGACTTGATAAACTTGTATTTTGGTACAAGTTCTTTATTATTATTATTATTATTATTATTATTATTATTATTATTATTATTATTATTATTATTATTATTATTATTATTATTATTATTATTATTATTATTATTATTATTATGTATTTTTGTATGAATATAAACGTTTCATGAATTAATTTCGAAGGAACACTTAACCTAGAATCTATCATTTGTATCTTGTTTTATTTTTATTCTTTTAGATAAATTAGTTCTTAAATTAATTTCTTAGTTTATAATCATCATCCAGATCATTAGTCTAGATAATATTTAACTGTCTTTATTTTGGTACTTAATTAATTTAACTACAATCTCTGTAGAATACGACCTTGCTCGCCACTATCTATAGCTACGTCGTACACTTGCAAATAGCGAAAATAATTAGCGAACAACTTTTTTATTCCTTGTCTAATCCTTTGGTCTACCTGGACATAAAGGAATAACGCGAAGCATAGGGATATTACTTTTTTGTGTTCCAATATTATTTTACAAGTTGACAGACATCTATCTCTCCTTACCGCACTGGGCAGACTCACGCTGAGAGACTGAACAGGCTGTGGGCCACCTCATCATTTTGCACCACTTCCACAGCCGTCTGTCCAGCATCCACACCCCAGAGCTGTTGTTTGAATGAGACTCGAGCCTCCTTGGGTTAAGCTAAACACTGACATATCTTTTGACTGGCTTACCGAAGCCGCTGGAGGTGGGGTCTGATTAGGGACCATAGAGGTGCTCTTATTACCGGTTTCCATGCCCTCTTCGGGCCTCCTCGAGCTACGACGCGGAGGTTCAGGCGCTTCAGATCAGTCTTCAAATTGCTGCCTCGATCTCCTCTCACATTTGGATAGAGTTGTACGCTGCCGCTGTCATCACTCTCTTGACCGCACATGGTAGATTCAGCATCTGCTCATGCGTATTAGGGCCACACTTTGGTCGATTCGCTTTCAGATCTTGGACATCTTTCGCGAGGGGAACCGTCCTACTGACTTCCTTGCAGGCATCGGGTCCTCCACCCTCCATAGGCGCATACTTTATTCTGACGATATTATTTCTCTGCCTCCATACCTTTATACGGATGGACCAGATGTGATACCTTTCATTCAGATTTGTGTAGCCGGTCCTAAATTTGGTGCATCTGCTCTCCCTTGACGCTAACTTTTTTACTGGACTCTTTCCGGACCAGGGACGTTATCTTTGTGTTACTGGCAGCTGTTGCCAGCTTTTCTATTTTCTTTTTCGTTTTTGGTTTTGTTTTTCGTTTGACTTGATGTATTTCAGACATTTAACTTGTAGGTTTGTGACTTTTCACTCCAATTTAAGGTCTTTTTATATATACAGGTTCGGGGGCCGGCCTAACCCCCCCTCCTGAGTGTTTTTCTC